AAAGCCTGTGGACAGTGGTGGGCTCCGGGGTGCGTTACGGGGCAGCTGGCACTGTCCCCCCCGCCAGAGGCTTCCAGACACCACGCCAAGGCCAGCGAGTTCCTTCCACGGGCTCGGAATGACACCTCCTGGCTAGGGAGGGTAAGGACAGCACCCCAGCTCCCGCTCGCAGAGGCAACGCTGGAGCAAAAAAACGTTGTTCAAAACCAGTGCGGCCAGCAGAGCTGTCCCAGGGTGTTTGGGAAGCTGGGATGATCTTCCCCAATTCTAACCAGCCTTCAGGTGCTCCCTGCTCTCTCCCTGACATTTTGTGCCTCCTTTTCTCCAAACCCTGTGCCCGTGGCTCGGCCTTCTGCCTCGTGCCTATAACCCATCTTCCCCGAGAGCAGCACCAGCAGATGGGGCCCTATCCTGCACGTCCCATCCCCTGCCCCGGGGACCAGGGTCCCTCTCTCGGGGCACGGACACACAGCCACAACCAGACAGAGGCAACAAGGTTTGAGCTGCACCACAAACCTCAATGTTTCCCCTGCTGCCCTGAAGGTAACGGCACTCAGCGTGCTGCAGGGAGCTATTTCGGCTGACGGATGTCATCGGTGCAGACACGCATCCAAACCAAGAGCTTTCCAGCACAAATTGCTTGTGGTCTCATTAGGAAAGCTGAGCTCAGGGGGCACTGCGGGTTTACCCGGGCAGTGCGCTGTCTCAAGGACAATTCAGCGGGCTGAGGGTGTCAGAGGGGAGCAGCGGGGGCGTTTCTGTGTCCCCCTGCCCCGGGGATGACGGCTGCTCGCTGGCCCCCAGACTGCAGCAGAGCACCGGGCCACCCAGCCCTGCCGGAGACACGGGGTAAACCGTGGGCAGGTGGGACCAAACAACATTTGGTGTCTGAGTGACCGAGTGTTCTGCCTCCGCAGCCTGGACTCCGGCCCAGCACAGCGTCCTCCTCCCGATCACAGAATCACGGAAGGGTTTGGGTGGGCAGGGGCCATCAAAGCTCATCCAGCCCAACCCCTGCCACGGGCAGGGACATCTCCAACCACATCAGGTTGCTCACAGCCCCGTCCAACCTGGCCTGGGATGTGGCCAGGGAGGGGGGACGCACGCCCCCATGTGGCAA